GCAGGGTGAGAAGCCATGAATACAGCCAAGGAAAGGGAATAGAAGGGAAAAGGAGGGAAAGAGGGGAAGAAGGGCTCCTTCCTCCACTATTTCATACCCCCGCTCCCTCTTTCCCTCCCTCCCTCTCCACTCCCTCTTCGTTCCCCGCCCTACCTGCATCTTGATACCCTTGTCGCCGGCTAGGAGCGAGACTTGGCCGTAGGACGGCCTCGGGCGCTTTTCACTGGGCAGGAAAGAAGGCGGGGGGGCGGACGCGAGGGAGGGAACGAGGGAAGGAAAAGATGTCAGAAAAACTGAAGGACGCACAGTCAGTGCCCTGAAAAATGGGGAGAAGGACGCATGGAGGGTCTACCGTTGACAGTGCTCTTGGAGGAGGATGGAAGGAAGCCGCTGCCAGCTCTGAAGCATCACGCCGTCCTTGACGACGGGGGCTGAGGGAAAGGGCCGTCGGGGAGTCAACAAGGGGGACACGCGTGTGTTGTACAAGAATGAAGAGGATTATGTTGTCAGGATACTTTCCCAAGGCATGAAGATGGAACGACGGAAAAGTCGGGTCTTTGCTTTCCCTTTCCTCCCCTCCCCATCCCTGCGATGCGTCTCTCGGTGGCCTTTAGGATGCTTAGAGCCTTACCTTTATCCACCATTACGGCTCCTGCACCGCGCTGTCGATGCCCACGCGCCTTTTTCTTCGTTTCTCCCCCTGTCTGTGCCTCGATACTACAGGATGGGCGACGAAGAGGGATAATTACTTCCATCATGTTCAAGGCCAATACCAGGAGGTAGAGCAAAGAGATAGAAAAAAGGCGTGAAATTAGACCAAACTTCACCTGTTGGGTCCCGATGTAGGCTTTGAAGACGACGAGGACGCATTATTCTTTTTCCCCATTGAGTTTGGTTTTTTGGCAATGAAATACTGGGGAGGGTGGCGGGAGGGAGGGAAGGATAAGGCCATGTGGGAGGATGAGGCCATGAGTTGGGCAAAGATCATGCACAAGCATGATGTTGACACACCGACATCCTTCCTGGCGCCTATGACGCTGCACGGCCTTCCTCATTCCATGCCTTTGATGTTTTTGCCTGTACCGGGAGTGAAAGGCATCGCGCAATGGCACAAATCGGAGAGGGCGGTGCGTCTCGCCATGACGTACCAGTCAGGAAGCGAGAGGTTCAAGGGCAATGGCCACATAAAATAGAACGCTGTTGTGAATGCACGGGCCAATCCGTGCAATTCTCACCACGATTTTCAGACCAAAGCATTTGACCGTGTCCTGAAGACCGGCTTTGACAATGGGGGAAAAGTGTGCATTGCCGTATGTGGAGACAGTCGAGAGTCCTCAAGGATGTTCCACCTGCTCCCAGGCGGCGTATTATTTTCCTCATTCCAGACCCTTGGAGACTCTTTCCTACCACCAACACTGCTTTTTCACGTCCCCACAGACAGGTACCATGGTTTCACCGTGCTTCCCAGTGCGACAGGGCCCTGCGTGCTATCGGCAGGGGGAATTGCTACGCCTTCTGCTCCTCCTTCCTTGCGCCACTGCCTTCCTTCAACCTCAGGGCATCCTCGCGCCCGTGTCCCGTCTCCAACGCCCTTATTTGCACACATGTGCTGCTTCCAGCCTTTCCTCTTCCATTGAAACTCCAGGGCCCCGCAATTACACGGAAGGGAGCCTTCCCTCTCCTCCCCCCACTTTCCAAGTCACGGCTGTCTCGCCCCTCCCTCCCTCCCTTCCCTCAATAGCCCCCGGCTCGGACTACCAGGTCTCTCAACCCGCACGAGAGGCACCAGGGCCGCGGAACTGGCCCGTGTTTGGGAACATGCTCCAGCTGTTGCGGTCGGGGGGCTTCGACAAGTTCGATCGGTTCATGCAAGGTCAGTCGTGGCGGGGATCTGAGAATGTATATATGTAGGCATGCGTGTGTCCTGACAGGAACATTACGCGCGTGCATGCATCAAAATATACGCAGTGTCAGGTATGCCTTGATGTCGTTAGATTAGGATCGTGAGAGCCTCCATCCTCGAGGAAGCCCTCTCGCACTTCCCTCCCTTACGAAATGCGCTACCGCCCGTTCCTTTTTTATCGAACTCTCCTACTTCTCGGCGGACTCACAATTTCCTCCTTCCCTTTCCAGATAAGTACGGTCGCGTCGTCAAGACCCACATCATTGGCACCACCTGGTTCATCATCTCCGACCCGGCACTCGCGCGCGAAGGCATGGCCCCCCTCCCTCCCTCCTTCCCTCTCTCCCTCGTTCCCTCCTTCTCTCCCTCTCTTTCTCCCTCCCTCGCTCCCTTCATCTTTTCACTACCCCTTCTTCCCTCTTATTCCTCAATTT